AAATTGGTCATGTCAACCAATCAAATTTCAAACTTGATTCATTAAATATGTAGTCTTAAAGTGCCATTTTAAAATAAGATACTTCGAAGGTTTTTGGAAATGAAGAATGAGTTGTATTTTAGGATATAAATATTAGCTTAGAAGTGAAAACTGTCTTTTCTTACAAAACATCTAGATAATCCTATGTGTTGCAACTTGCTGATCCCTTAATTAAACCATTACCCTGAAAATTTTCTGACATTCCGCTTGACCGTTAACTCAATAATTTGTTGATCAAATTGATATCATAATTATTTACTTATTATTACTTATTACGCAAAATATTAGAAGAAATAATAGAAATAATATATAAAATATGTAAATGACTTTGCCCATCTCTACGGTTTCGGGGAAGTGATTGTGGCAGGGAAATAATATCAGGAAAAAAACTTACGGGGAAATAGTTGGGGAATGGTTGTCGGGGAACCTATTTCATAATGGACGGAATTGGCAATTTATCGTTGCAGAATACTACAAATACATGGTCTATTTCATTTGTTTGATGGGCTGGAGCGGAGGGAAGCGGAGTGAAAGACCTATCTATGGTGTACTAAGTTTAGGCGATGTCCGGCTCCCGCCCCTGTAATGATGATAATACTGATTTTGTCGACCCCTGTAGAAATTAATTAATCAGACTCTAATCATTAACGTCAGCGATAAATAAAGTAAACTACACGATTAGTATTTTGAAGTTTTTTACGCAAAATGCAAAAAAAATAAAGAATTTATTCATCCGAACAAACAGCTACAAGAAATGATGCTTGAAAGAAAAGATTAGCTTCTGACACTTGAAGAACAATAATAAAACTAACGAATCAATAAAAAGACAAGATCGGCGCAAATGCCAAAATAATAATGGAAAAGAAAATATGAACCCAAGCGATGAACGTAATATTAATATATATCCAAGAAATCACAAATTATAATTATGTGCTATTATTTATTAACTAACGCTATGAGTTTTTAGAAAGTAAAGCCATCTTGCACCTTGCTGTTACTACTTGCATGCCAACTTTCTGATGACAATCGTAAGCTTCTAAAAAATTTTGTAGTACAGTTTCTGCACTTAAATACAATTTCTGCCCAATTTGTAAGGTTTTCCCTATACTGTATACGTACATAAAAAGGGATTATGTAATAGATGCAGTAGTGAAAAAATTAATTCCGAGAAGATAGCTGAAAATGATATGAATCCCGGTGTATAAAGGAAATAAAGGAAATAAAGTATACTGATTGGTATATAGAAAGCCTGCAAATCTAAAATTTTTATCTTTAGGTGAAATTCCTATAGGTTTTACATTCATAGCTATATCAAGAGTCCGTGTTCTTTCTGGTCTTCTTCTTCAATAGCACATTCTTTTATAATAGATTACGAAAAATTGGGCGAAAATATATGTTTACAGCAAGGATTGAATAAAGAGCAGATATTGTTTTCTTTGTAAATTATTAAATTAGTGACTATGTTTTTCACACATGCATTAATATAAATTTATAAAATATGCTATATACTTATAATTAATGTATATTCTAATACTCAGTGCTAAAAATTTTCAAGTATCTAAGAAATAGTGCTCCAGCTCTATGAAACGTCGCCGTTTTATTACTAGTATTTAAAGAATGACTGACTTACAACTATATATTGTTACAGGTGAATAGTACAATAATCTATAATATAAAATATAGTCTTTATGATATAAGGCAACACGCCAGAGGCGTGACGTTAGGGTGTTAACTAATAAACATATGAAGATCATTAATTCGGATTTATTAATGGTTAAATTACTGTAACCACTAGGTGGTTATCCCTTATATGATACCCAATATCTTCACGTTTTTAGTCCCCAAAATTGCTTGCAGTTATGTCGGCAATACAAATACGTACATCAAAAGTCCGAAGATTATTAATATTTATACACGTCGGGCATTCAGAGATAGTACAAGATCGTGATTTCAAAGGGCCTCCAAAAAGTGAGCAAAGAAATAAAAGGATAGAGAGGCCGTATGCTAAAAAGAATAACATTTTTCAAAGATTATCAAACAAAATGATTTAGTCTTCTTGTGATACTATTGCTATGTACTCGTAAATTAATAATTTGTCGAGAAAATGCAAATTGCAGGCAATTAAGGGATAAAAATAATTATAAACCTAAATTTACATTTATTGGCATAAGTATCTAATGAAAGTGTATATAATTTTTTTTAACTTGAAGCCCTCAACTAGTTCTACATGGTAATAGAGCTATTTTTTTTCAACAGTTTCTAAAAATCGTTCAATTATAAATGTTAAATATTAATTATTTAATTAATTTTTACAAATTTATTTTAAAGACTTATTTAAAAATAGCTCTATTACATGTAGAGCTAGTTGAGTGCTTCATGTTAAAAAAAAAAATTCTATACACTTTCGTTAGATACAGTATAACCTCGATATAACGAACCTCAATATACCAAAAATTGGTATTATAGCGAAGATATTTTTTAGCTAAAATTTTTTATTACAAAAATACCTCAATATAGCGAATTTTAATTATAAAACCTTGATATACTGTATAACGAAGAAAAAATTTTTCATTTATAGTGTAATTACCTTGATATAACAAATACCTTGATAAAGCGAAATATTTATAGTATAAAGAAACTTCGTGTAACACTATCAATTAAATTCTTATATTGGGACACATTATATAAGCCGAATGTTTTATAAAATATTTTCTTGTTATCTGGCATGATGTGACGGTATTCGGCAGGATGATAGCAACGCACGTGGCATTCGGCCACGTGCTTTTGCTATCATCCTGCCGATGTATCCGTCACATCATGCCAGATAAATATATATATTCGTTATATTGAGGGATATTATTTGTAAACTGAATATTTTATAAAATTATATATAAATTCGTTATATCAAGAGACCCCGATATATTGAAATATAAATATAACGAAGCAAAACCTTCAGCTTCAGAGCTTCGTTATATCGAGGTTATACTGTACTTGTGCTAATAATGTAAATTTAATTTGATATTTAATATATAGCCTATAAAAAAATCTGAAATTAATGACCTTTATATGTTACCTTGATTATGATTTGATTTATTCACCCTAGCGTAACGTTGGTGATTTACAGCCGGTTTCAAAAATTTGTGGAAAGATGCAGATCACTATAACATGGAGAATTCACGATATTTCCCAGATTTCTAGAATTTTCAAGACCCACTCTAATCGGATTTTTACTAAGCAGAATTTCCACATTCTTCGATTCCCCACATGGGTATATGGAAATCGTTTTCCACATCTTTTGAAAACAGCTGTAGTAAGGGTAATTTATTTGGACGATTTATTAGAAGGATTTTTTATTAAATGTTTTATAAACAGAATATTGAAGCCCCGTAGAGTGCCTCTACAAGAGGAACTTTACAACTTTTTTATAGCTTTCAGAAATTATAAGGTTTAGGGCTCTTTTAGCATAAAGGGTTTAACACTCCGTGCTTTGACACTCGAAGAGTCTATTCTACGAACATTTCTTGTTTTCATTTGTCATTACCAGAATATTCTATTAATATTTTGCCCGGGACAATATATATTTTTAAACTAAACTAAATTCTATTTAATATAATTTCTATTCGCTAGTCTATCTATATCTGATATGTAATTTTATGCGCATAATAATGTACGCGCATGTATACAAAATCAATTTTAAGCATAAAACAATTAGCTTTATCATCCGCAGGTGATATATTTATATCTAAGATTACAATTTTCCAAAAAAAAACAAGGTTAGCAACAACCCCTTGAAGGGAATGCATCTCTAGAACTATGTACTTTCCATATCGAATAAAGAGAACCACTAATTAAAATTTAAATTTCTAATTCCGTAGAAATTCTTAACTTTAAACCCAAAAATGTTTCCCACGTTGATCATAGGATAGTTGTAAGTAGAAAATGGACATTCGTAATGATACTGTATTGCAATTACCTGAGTACAATATATAGTCTTAGAAATTTTGTACTTGGGAGAATAATTACCGTTACTTTGTGAAATATTTTTTAACCAGTAATAAACTAGTGATAAACAGTATCAAAATATATCTTAGTGTCCATTCTGAACTTTTATGCATTAAGTTGTTGTTTTTCTTCATAAAGTATCAACGCATATATGATATTCTTACCGTATATGTATATTTGTATGTGCAGTGTAAAAAGTCTAAACACCACAATCGCTCCTTATAATGACTATACTATATTTCACGTAATTCCCACCTGCTATTTAGGGATGTGCACAATTTTCGGGATAAGCAAATACGTTAACATAGTAAACAAAGTAAATCAAAGTTTCAATATACTTTCGTTATATTTTATTTATACTTTGTCCTTTTTTTATACATACTTTGTTTCTATATAGAAGGATTTTGAGTTTTAGATTTCTTACACAGTACATACCTAAGTCGGTTTTAAGTTTCAATGATTATTATAAAATGCCGAAGTTTAGGCATTTCTATTCTTTTTTTTTTTTCAACAAACTTGATTCACTTGAATAAGTAATATTTCGAGTGATTATATTTTTATATTAGAATAGAAATTACCATCTTCAGTATCTTCATTTTTTTTCAAGTCCACTTAAACAATGTATTGTGAATCAACTCTTTCGGATGCAAAAATTAATCTCAATTTTGCCAAACGTGCCTTCGAAAATTTAAAAAATAAAGAAGATTTATATAATAGAGGGCTAGAAGTAATAAAATATGGTCAAGATTTGTTAGAAGAAATTACAGAATTGATGATGTTTCCCGAAAGTTCACATTCTTTAAACGGAGATATAAATGTTGATAATGAAGCTAGTAAAAATGAAAAGGATATAAATAAGGTTTACGAAAATGTGCTGAATGTTAAAGCTATTAATTATAAACTTCGAGTATTTATCGTAGAGTCCATAACTTTTCAAAACCTTAAAAGTAAATTCTGGGATATTTATCTTTATGTCAACTATTGTAAAGATATGGTATGAAATATTTTTATTTATATAAATTTAATTTAATTGTAATATATGCGTTTTTGTAAATTCGTTTATAATTTCCGGTAAAATCTTTTTAATAAATAGCATGAAGAGATCGCTCGTCGAATAGAAGAGGCAAATAGTTTGATTGACAAATTGAAAAACACAATCAAAGACTTGTTAGACGAAGAAAATCAAAGAAGTAGTTGGGAAAAGATTAGATGTAGAGCCATGTCCTTAGCAAACTTTCTTATAATTCCTCAACATCAATTTAATTGTGAAATTATTAAAAGTGAACTTTCAGGTGGTGGATTAGTTAGAGGAAGTAATGATCACATAATTCAACGAAAGTATCTAGAACATAAAGTTGCTGAAAAGATTACTAATGATAAATCTTTGTATGAATTGAAGAAAGAAATTAATTTTATGCGAAATCTTTGTGAATGTTCATATATTCTTGAATTGTAAGTTTACATTTATCTAAATCGTTTTTTATATTTAAGTAATTATAAAAACAATTTTTTTTTCCTTTAAAGTTACGGTTACTGTCGTCGATCTACAACTGAATTCTCCGTAATTTCAGAATGGGCTGATAATAATTTGCAAGCGTACCTTAATGACCATCTTTTAGAGCCAACTGAAAAACTATCAATTGCCCGTGGAATTGCTAGTGCATTGGATTATTGTCATGAGAAAGATATTTTACACTATGATGTTAGAACGTTAGTATATACATATTATATCATATCATAATGTTGATATATATATTAATTAAAATTTCTTTAAATTTATAATTAGTTCTAATATATTGCTAAATGAATTTTTACAACCTAAACTGTATAACTTTCGAACTAATGAAGAATCTACATCATCAGCACCACTTAGTATTTTAAGGTAATTTACTCTTATCCTACCTTACATACCTGTCTTATTCTTTTTCAAACCTTTTTCTTTTTTTTTTTTTTTAGGTGGAGTTCACCGGAAAGAATCCGAGGTGAAAAATACAACAAAGTCAGTGAAGTATACAGGTAACTTTTAGAGTTAAAATATATGCAATTAATTCATAATTCAATAAATAATATTTTTTTATATTAAAAAGTTTCGCACTAGTTATGTGGGCCATTTTATATCAACAAATGCCCTTTATTACCTTAACTTCAAAGGAGGAAATCAAACGCCAAATACTTGACAAAACCCGTCCAGAACTTACTACTGTAGACGGTATACCAACCGAATATCAAGAAATTATTAAAAAATCCTGGTCTCATGATCCTTCTGCACGTGATAATATGAAAATTATTTTAGAACATTTGAATATATTAGATCTTGAAAGTTTCTCTGGCATTTCTAATCAGGATGCAGATGATTATTTTGATTTTAATAGTGCAAATATGGATCCAGTGACCGCAACAATATTAAAAAGTAAAGAATTTGAGATGTGTTGTCGATATAGTCAATATCCATCCAAATCTGAACAAATAGAACAAGGTATTGAACATCATAAATATAAAAGATATGATGATTCATGGAAATTATTTAAAGATTATTGTGATATCAAACCTGAAGATCCGCATGCAAACTTTTGGGTTGGTTTTTATTATCTTAAAGGACATTCTGTTAAGAAAGATCTTCAAGAAGGATTGAAATACCTTAAAAAAGCTTCAGAGTTACAACATCCGGATGCGCAATATTGGTACGCGTTAACGTTATTAAATAGTTCTGTTAAGTTTGAGAATGATGGGTGCGAAGCTGCAATGAAATATTTAAGAATATCAGCATTGACGAATTATAAGGCATTGGCGGTTCTGGGAAGAATCGTACAAACTGGAATTTATGGTCGTAAAGCAAATTATCTCTTAGGAAAAGCGATGATTGACGAAGCTCATAATATGGGGATGATAAGTTGAAAATTAACTCCTATTTAGTTTCAGCATCGTAGAAAAGTTATATGTTTTATTTATTGATTTCAAGTCAGCTGTGTTATTCGTGAATAACATATTTCATTATTTTTTTTATATTTTTCTTAAAAAAAAAAAAGAAAGGAAAGCTGATGTCTCTTTTTTCAAAAAAAAATTTGTAATATTGACATAAGGCAGCATCCATAATTTACGTTAAACCAGTACTATATTGTATAGAAATAGGATCTTGATGATAATATATTTTGCATTATCTTTAAATTTTTTTAACAATACTGGTTTAACGTAAACTATGGATGCCGCCTAATTAGTTTATCAATATCTAACAATTATCATTTGTGTTTCATGTATTATATATATCATCGATAGTATTGTAAAATTCCAATTATTATTAAATAAAAAATTTTACTTTTGAAAGTTACTTACTCGAACTTTGTTTGTCTTAAAGTTTAAGTACGTTTGTTTTATTTGATAACAGCTTGTCATAATTTTACAGGGTAATTATCAATACTAAAGATGAAAATTCTTTACAAGATTTGAATACAAAATTCGTGTTTTATTCTATAGTGTTTCTGATATAAAAGAATATAAAAGGTGTTCGGCCTTACTTCATCGACGGTCATTTCACAGACAACTCATTTGAAATCATACAAAGTGACAATTTACTAACAATATATACAGTGCCTACAATTAATCAAACGCTTCCTGTATAAAAATTTTCCGAATAATTCCATTATTTTTCCATATTTTTTCGAAAACTCTGAATGTCACAAAATATCACAAAATTTAGAACCAGCAAGGGATTTCGCACTTAGTAAGGGAGAGATATGTTTACCGTATTTGTGCGTAATAGCGGGCCGGGCGTACCAGGAACGTTAGTGTATGGTTTTACTGGCATCTAAAACGAAGGCAAAATCTTAAAGCTGATTGGTGCATATT